GGGGCGGAATGGGTGGACAGTGCACTCACCTTTCCCTGACCTTACCCTCAGCGGGTTTCCCCCTGAACGGTCAGCAAGACAGAGCCGAGCTCCTCAGGAGACCCCTGCAGGGAATGGAAAATTTTCCATGACAAGAATAGGCTGAAAGAATTCATGTCCACAAAACCAGTCCTATGGAACATAGTTGAAGCAATACAAAGGACCAAAGATAAGAATGACTATATTCCAGAGTTTACAGAAAGAAAACACAGGTATAATTATGGAAATACAAAACAGGGCCAGAACACAAACAAAACACTAGCACATCTTTCAATAATAACTCTATGTATCAATGGCCTTAACTCCCCAGTGAAGAGATACAGGCTAGTGGAATGGATTAAGAAACAAAATCCATAAATCCATCTTTTTCTTGTCACCTTCAAGGATAGGCACTACCTTAGGGTGAAAGATGGAAAAAAAATTTCCAAGCAAATGGTACTAAGAAGCAAGCAGGCATTGAATTCTAATATCAGACAAAATAGGCTTCAAATTAAAACTAATCAGAAGAGTTAAAGAGGGTTACTTCATTCTAATCAAAGGAACAATTGACCAAGAAGATATTACAACCATGAACATATATGAAACTCTGGAGCACCCAAGTTCATAAAATCAGTATTTCAGGACTATAAAACAGAGATTAACCCCAACTCAGTAACAGTAGGTGACTTTAATACCCCACAATCTTCAATAGGTCAACTGGATAAAGAATAAACAGAGAGACATCTGAATTAAATGACACATATTACATGAAGTGGGCCTAACAGATGTATACAGAATATTATACCCAAGCACCAAAGAATCCACTTTCTACTCAGCAGCCCATACAAGTTTCTTTAAAATTGACAACATACTGGAACACAAAACAAATCTCAACAAATACAAAAAATTGAAATAATTTCCATGCATTCTATCAGACCACACTCAGTAAAGTTTAAAATCAACACCAAAAAGAAACTCTAGTAACTACACGAACTCAGGAGATTAAATAACACACTCCTCAATGATGAATGGGTCAAAGAAGAAATCAAGAAAGAAATAAAAGTATTAAGAAAATCAGAGATGAAAGGGAAACATCACAACATACACCAAAAAAATTCAGAACATTATAAGGGACTACTTTAAAAACCCATACTCTATTATATTTGAAAATCTGAAAGAAATGGATGAATTTCTAAATTTGTGGAACTACCAAGAAGAGATCAACAGCTTAAACACATAAGAAATAAGGAAATTGAAACAGCATTGCAAAACCTCCCAAATAAAAAGCCTAGGCCCAGATGGATTTACAACATAATTCTACCCAAAATTCAAAGAGGGTCTAGAATCAATACTTCTTAAATTATTCAAAAAGATAGAAACAGAGGGAGACCTCCTAAACTCCTTCTGTGAAGCCCCTATCATTCTAATACCAAAATCAGGTAAAGACAGAAGAAAAAAACTGTAGGCTCCATCCTTAGTGAGTATGGACATAAAAATTCTTAACAAAATACTCACAAACTGCATACAGACACCATCACAAAGATCATTCACTATGATCAAGTGACTTTACTCCAGAGATTCAGGGATGTCTTAATATACATGTCAATAAGTGTAATAAATCATATAAATATAATTAAAGACAAAAGCCACATGGTCATCTCAATAGATGCAGAAAAGGCCTTTAACAAAATCCAACATGTATTCATGTTAAAAGTCCTAGAGGGAATGGGACTGGAGGGAACATACCTCAACAAAATTAAAGCTGTGTACAACAAAGCCACACCCAACAAAATTTTAAATGGAGCAAAACTCTATATTCCCATTAAAATCAGGAACTAGACAAGGTTGTCTACCATCTCCACTCCTTTTTAATATAGTGCTTGAAATTCTTTCTAGAGCAATAGTATGAGAAAGAAATTAAAGGAGTACTAATTGGAAAAGAGGTCAAATTATCACATTTGCAGATGATATGTTATTTTTATATGTAAGAGACTGCCCCAAATTCCACTAGAACACCGCTAGAAATAATATTTTCAGCAAAGTGAGAGGTTAAAAAATCAATTTACAAAAATCAGTAGCCTTCTAAATACCAATAACAAATAATCAGAGAAAGTACTCACGGAAACCCCATTCACAATACCCTCAACTCCTGCCCCCAGGAATAAACCTAAGTAAATACATTAAAGATCTCTGCAATGAAAAACTTAAATCTTTGAAGAAAGAGAGAGGAAGACAGCAGATAACGGAAATATCTCCCAGGCTCATGGATTGATAGAATATGTAGAAATGGCCATCCCATCAAAATCAATCTGTAGAGTCAATACAGTGCCAATCAAAATCTTGAAGACGTTCTTCACAGAGAGCTAGAAAAAGAAATCCTAAAATTCATATTGACTCACAAAAGACTTTGGATAGCCAAAGCAATCTTGAGCAAAAAGAACAATGCTGGGGTAGGGTGGGGGATCACCATAACCAGATCTCAAATTTTATTATAGAGCCATAGTCATAAAAACAGCATGGTACTGGCATAAAAACAGACACACAGATCAATGAAACAGAATAGAAGACCCAAACATGAGTGCATGCAGATTGGCCATTTGATATTTGACAAGGGTGCCAAGGACACACAATCAAGGAAAGACAGCATCTTCAACAAATTCTGCTGGCAAAGCTGAATCTCCACCTGTAGAGGAACGAAATTACACCTGAATCTTTCACCCTGCACAAAAGTCAACTCCAAATGGATCAAAGACCTCGATATGAAACCTGAAACTCTGAAACAGAAGAAAACACAGGCAGTATCCTATAAGATACAGGTGAGGAAAGGACTTTCTGAATTGGACATCAGTCACTCAGGCATTCAAGTCAATCAAGTGGGATCTCATTAAACTGAAAAGCTTCTGTACAGCAAAAGAAACAACTAAGGAAGTGAAGAGGAAACCCACTGAGTGTAAGAAAATCTTCAACTACTACATATCCCAGAGAGGATTAATATCCAGAATATACAAAAAACTCAAACAAAGAAGAAAATAAACAGCCCAATAGAAAGATGGGCTAAGGAGCTGAACAGAGTTCTCAAAGAAATAAAAATGGCTAAGAAACATCTTAAAAGATGCTCAACAGCCTTAGTAATTAGGGAAAAGCAAATCAAAACCACTTACAGTTTCATCTTACCTGAGTCAGACTGTCTAAGATCAAGAGAACAAAAGACATTAAATGCTGGTGAGGATGTGGAGAACGGGGAACTCTCATTCACTGCTGGTGGGATTGCAGACTTGTGCAACCACTTTGAAAGCACTGTAGAGAATTCTTAAAAAATTAAAAAAATAAACCGGGCGTGGTGGCGCACACCTGTAATTCCAGCACTTGGGAGGCAGAGGCAGGCGGATTTCTGTGAGTTCAAGGTCATCCTGGTCTACATAGTGAGTTCCAGGCCAGCTGGGGCTACTGGGAGACCCTGTCTCAAAAAGACCAAAAA